AACTGAAAATTTGGCAAACTATCGTACTGTTTATTCAGTACTGTGTTGTTAACAATTTTGTAAACAAATTTGCTTGAGTTGTATGATGCTAGGGATTATAAATCCATTTACAGAAGTTAGCCGGTGTGCAAGTGTGCCATTTCGTAAAATCCTGTAGGATGATTAGCACAACGAGTCCAAAGTTTCTACTTAATTTTTTTCCTTTCTTGTAAACGATAGTAGCCTAAAATCGGTAAAAAACCACAAAATCATCCAGCATTAACCACATCTAATCCTCGAAATGGGGATGCTTCAACAATAACCATCTGTTAACCGACTTGACTAAAAAAAAAATTTTTAATAAATAGACACGTCTATGAACCCGTGATGATTTTATAAACAGTTTGTTCGTAGCTAAGTAATTTCTAAACAGGTATACATGTCTTCTTAAGATTGTTAATAACGATTATCATCTCACACCCTAAAATGTTTATGACGTTATCTAATGGTAATTCATGCTGGGAGGTGCACGTCCGCGAAGACGCTAACGTTAAAAGAAATCTTAGGTCTAAGATGAAAGACTGAAATTACCGGTAACCGTCGGAAAGGTTTTCAACCGGGTCTGCCATTGTCTTAAGAACACTCCAAGTCCGAGGGTGTATTGAGGTCATCGGGATAACGCCCCGAGATAAATTACACATCATCCCTCCCCGTCGTAAACGATAGGTTTGCCCCGGCCTGTTATTACTACGAGAGACAGTGGATGGACCTCATCCATTAATACCTACCATAGTTGCGTATAATTGTTAAGTGAGAAAGTGGAGGCCGTTTTTCAAACTCCCTATTGACTTACACACCCGGATAAAAGCAGGCATTCTTTTACCGCTTCTTCCAGGCATTTCACAACGGTAAACCGTCCGCTCGTAACATATGAAATGTCAGTATTTCTTGTTTATCAATTTCTTGGCGAGAGAAATTATCTTACTGGTTATGCATACACAATGTTTGCACTTATTTAATAATATGAGATTTATTTGGGTTTCAATTAGCGTGAGGGGGGCCGCAACGTTTGACACGGCATTGTTGAAATAGCACGTAAGGTAAAGGTCCCGGGTTCGAATGCAGGGCCGCTGGATACATACTTACAAATGGGCTTTTTTTTCAAAAACACCGGCAACCCTCGGGGTGCCGAAAAGGAAAAAAAATTAGCGAGTGCCTTCTCTTCTCTTTCTTCAATCTTTTCTTGATCTCTCTCGGTCTCTCCTTTCTTGTCATGATCAACTCATTTTGTGCATTTCTCCTTCCTCTCACTCTCTCTCTCTCTCTCTCTCTCTCTCTCTCTCTCTCTCTCTCTCTCTCTTTCTTTCTCTCTCTCTTTCTCTCTCTCTTTCTACCCATCTACATATCTGTCTATAACTACCTATCTATATCTTTTCTCTCTCTGTCTCTCTCTCTCCCTTCTCCCATCTTTTTCTCTTCTTTAGCATCTCTTTTACTCTCTCTTTTGTCTTTCCCTTCTCTACCCTTTCTCTTTCAAGAATCTTTTCTGTTTCTTTCCTTTTCTATCCTTTCTTGTACTATGGTTCACTCACTGTATGCATTCTCTCTTCTCTCTCCTCTCTCCTCTCTCCTTTCTCCTCTCTTTCTCCTTTCTGTCCCTCTCTTTTATTTTCCCCTCTCTCATGCTCTTTTCTCTCTATCTCTCTCTCCCTTCTCTCATCTGATTCTCCTCTTTACCACCTTTTTTACTCTCTCTCTTTTTTCTTTTTCTTCTCTATTTTCATTCTCTTCTTCTTTTTCAATAATATTTTCTGTTTCTCTCCTTTTCTTTCCTTTCTTGTACTATGACTCACTCATTGTACGCATTCTCTCTTCTCTCTCTCTCTTTCTCTCTCTTCCTCGCTCTCTCTCTCTCTCTCTCTCTCTCTCTCTCTCTCTCTCTCTCTCATTCTTCTCTCACTCTTCACTCTGGCCAATACTTTATTCTTGATTTAGACCTACCTTTCACAAAACTTTATATGAAAGAAAAGCTGTTTTTATGGCATCCGAAATCCTTCGAAAACATAATATGCGAAAATCGATTGTAAATCGTCTCTCGTTATGAACATGTTCTTCGATCGTATTTACTCGAAAGTTAAACTTTATTGCATGGCCCTGGTTCGCAAAGTGGGTGTTGAGCGATAATGGCTGGTCAGTGGTCGGATAAGGACGACCACACTACACACTTTAAAGTACTCAGGGACAAGTCTACAAGTAGGTGAAGTCCGGCTCATTTGGCTCATTTCTAATCCTTGGACCGGAAACTACCACGTGCACTTATTCCAGTTGGAAGATATTCGAAAAACAGTTGATTTAAAAATTGATTAAAAATCTAGAACATTTTTACATAAAACTTTATTTTAGGAGTGTTTTCATCAATTCGGTTTAATTTGTTATTGAATTATTAGAGAGATTTTTTTTAGCAAAGCAGTCTTTGAAATGTCAGGGCTCAGTATATTTTTCTTGACTACAACTTGACCGGGCATTGAATTCAGAGATGTGGGATTTCATCCGTTCACACCTTCTGTAAACATAACGCATCAAAGGATCAAAGTTCAAAGGGCATTAGACTCTTTATGCGCTACTTTTTTATCTACAGTTTATTTACTGGTGCCAATCAACAGTAGGAAAACTTTTGTAAACTGAATCACTTCAAATAAGCCAAACCCAAGAAAATATGCCAAAGAAGTCTTAAGTACGATGATCAATATTGTATTTGCTTTTAAATATAATTTTTTTCTATTTTTGTACGTTAATTTTAGACAGTTCTGTTCATAAGATTTCTCAGTTTCCACTTGCACGTACGTTTGTTAAAGAAAAGATGTTGAACGTGCCATTTATTAAGACCCAGGGGCGATGTCATTTGTTACGAGGGTGGCCGTCCGGGTTCATGAAACCGACCCCTGTTGATATTGGATGAGACATAATTGTGCTTTGTAAGGGCAAACTGGGGCCGACACATGGCTCAATTATTCACCCTTGTCCTAGGTCCGAAACGGGCAGTCATGTGCACAAAAGCGCCGCCCAAGCTGGGAAACGTCGAACTGACCTCGTTGCGTATGCGTTAAAATATTGTTTTATGCGAGGTCTCGTAATAAAATGTAACGTGGTGTGTAGGTAATTAGGTTTAAGTTCATATTATGATTGTAGTACAAATGCAGAAAACCAGTGTTCAAAGTTTTTTTTTTCCTTATGATCTTGCATATTAGCCATGGTACGAATTCTTGTGTGCTCAAATTGGGGGTTATCGGGAAAAAAGGGCCAGAGGCGACGGTGGGAATCGAACCCACGACCGCGGCGTGAGAGTCTCTCATGCTAACCACTCGGCTACCGCGGCCCCCAGTGTTCAAAGTTCATATAATAAAAAACTCAACTCTCTCTCTCACTCTCTCTCTCTCTCTCTCTCTCTCTCTCTCTCTCTCTCTCACACACACACACACACACACACACACTCTTTCTTTCTTTTTTCACACACACAACCAAAGTCAGGTAGTGTTCAAAGTTTAACATCATCAATAGATTTAAGATCATCAAGAAGCCAAAATGAGTATTCAGTCGCATGGAATCCTTGCATGGAGAGAGACAGCAATAATAATATCTTGTTTATTGTCTGGATTCCCTGTCACTAAGGACACAGGGATTAGTAGGCCGACATACTGGCCGAAAGGCAGCAAATATGAATACCTATGGTTCGGTCGTCTAAAAAGGCACATTAAAATATCCTTAATGAATCGTAATCCTAATGGATCAACACCCAAGGGATGAGAAAAGTGAAGAGATTCACGTACAAAACACCCAAAAGAACTAATGGAGAGTAAAGGGATTAAAACTGGGAGTAAATCTCCTGAATGGACACTGTCTCCAAGGAAAGCGTATGTACTGGGTAGGAATACTGGCAGAAAAATAAATTAGGATAGACCAAAATGATAGGAAATGAACAAGCTGCAGTTGAGCGGTCTCTCTTTGAGATCTGTGGAGTGATGAATATCTAGCTTGGTGTAAGAGGCTCTGTGGCAACCACTTCTACCCAAATACCTCTCCAAAATATCAGTGGCATATGATCTAAGACAAAGACAAAAGATGAAAATGACCAGCTTCGGTTGAGGGACGCACTCCTCCTGATGTGGGGGTGATGGACTTGAAGATTGATCGATATCTGATCCTTCAAGCAGAAAAGTGACCTAGAGTCCTAAAAGATAAACCAAAATGATTGGAATGACTAATAAGTGATGATCATGTGGTTTGGTCATTTCCATTTATGGTGGTGATCCTTGATCATTTTTATCAGTAGACAATTTTTGCTTTGAACTGACAAAATATTAGAAGTTCTTCTTATCCTTTTCTTCCGTCGTATTAGTGATACGGTAGAATAGGTTATACTTTCTCAGACCTTAATTTCACCTGACTGATTGCCGAAGGCTGGTACTTAGCGAGATGACGGTCTCAAACTGGGAACAACATAGCTGAATTCAGTTTACCAGGTCCTTGACAAGAATTAGTGTCAAACGGCTAATCCGCATCCGTCCATCGGGTCGGGCCTACCTTCGCAATTAGTCGTATAACTCCCTTTTAATAACATCGGAAATTAGGACCTGCTTTCCATTAGAAAAGACTGGGGTGCGACGTGTTTCGCTATTAATAAGCCTATTTTTATAGTCGGATCACAGAGAGCCCGTTATTCTTCATCCCTTAGGAAATGTTTCCGGTTTTACTTTTACTCATTAGACACCTCGGCCCATTAGACGGCGAGCTTTGGGCAACACGAGATTAGGCTTACAGGTTCCAACAGACGTAATTTGAGCTAATATGAATTTCCATCGGTCCTCGACTTATAACACATGTACTTTAAAACAAATATCGGGTATTGTACTTTATCCACTAGTTTGATGTTCTACATTTTTCACTCTGATTTGTTTCATATGTATGTCCCTATTTGAGTCACGTTGCTATTTTACAATTCACATGATAAATATTATTAGCATATGTGTATTGACATTTTATTGGGAATATTAAATCAGATATTCCTTTTGTGATAAAATGGCTGAGAAACCGAAGACGGACAAAGTCTCCAAAATGAGTTTGAAGTCCACGGAGCAACCTAAGCCTGCCAAAGACGAACTGATACCGGCGCTGACCCCGGGCGACAGCAAGGTCTGGCAGTACGCCCGTCCGATGAAAATGCCAAACCCAAAAAAAGATTTCCAAATATCCAAACGGTTCGTATTCTGTTTAATAGCTTTAGTCGTCTTTAATCAACTTTATCTTCAGGTACTTGCAAAAACTTGGCATCAACGATGAATCCGTCTGGGAACTCTTGACCCACGCTTTGCAGAGAGTGAGTGAGTATAAAGGTGAAGTCACAGTTGACACGTTCCAACACATCATAAGGAATTTGCTCAAAAATGTACGTGTGAGGGAACCGGCTCCGTTTCGTGAAGTGTACACCGAACCTTTGGCCAGGGTGCCCAGTGAAAACGCGAGAGGTTTGTACACCGGCCTGAAGTACAAATGGGACAACGACGAAAGGGAGCCTGATCCCAACACCGTACCCGACCCCCAGTACCTCGAAAAGATGAGACTTTTGACAGAAGCAGGAGTCGGCCTGACAAAAGTCGAAATTTACGATGTCATGATCGCCATGAAAAAGGTCACGGAACAGAACAACATCTCAAAAGCGCGCTTTTGGGGGAAAATATTCGGCCTCCACAAAAATTATTACGTTATTGAAGCGGACCCGCACCCCGATGTTATAACTCAAGCTAAAGAGGCGGAAAAATTGATGACCTCCATGGCGAAGGCGAGCGCTGCAGCTGAAGCGGCGAAAGGACACTTGAGAAAGCAAGAAGCCGACGTAGTCGAGAAGCTCCGAGGTATGAAAGAAGAAGTAGTCGCCATCAAAGAAGGAATCGTGAAAGCTTTGGCCGAAGTCGAAGCCCAGAAACCGCCGGAGCAGCCCGAACCTCCGGGCCCTCCGTTTTTGAATCTTCTCGCGAAATACAAAATGCCTCCAGTGCCACAGCCCCCGGGGTTCAAAGAAATAGTCGTCCCGCCAGAGCCTCTCGGAGAAGGTCTGAACTGGAAGCAGTATTACGTGTGCAACAACCCTTACGATCATTGGGTAAGGTTACCTGAGGTGACGCCCCTGCAGATAACGTGCGCCAGGACTATTACCAGATTTCTCACAGGTGATCTGGAACACGAATTTCTCTCGTTTCCCCAATTCCCAGGGAAAGAAAAACATTTGCTCAGAGCTCAGATTGCCAGAATCACGGCCAGTACGACGATATGTCCTGTTGGATATTACATCACCCAACTGGGTGAAGAAGAGATCATGGGAGACGACGTGATTCCCGGCGGCTTCATAGAAAACCCAGACTACCACCCACCACCGCTCAAATGCCTCTTGCATTCCGAGAGGAAATATTGGATGCACTGTCGCCAATACATCTTGCCCCAAGGGAGGACCAAGTACTGGAAGAAACCCGACGACTTCGGTGAGTTCGGAGAAGCTTGGGCGGACTGGGACGAAGACGAGTTGAAAGGGCGTTTCGGACCTCCGCCTCTCACACTTATCAGCAGAGATGATTCGCCCGATGCGGATAAATGTTGGTCCCTTCGAAGGGCCTACAGGTCGATGGGGAAGAACCAGATCGTGATGGCGCGTTCCAACGTTTGGCCAGGTGCCTTCTGCGTCAACCGCGGTTACACCTTCGTCAACATCTACGTCGGCCTCGGTACCAAACACTTCGCTAACTACTTCTGGCCGTCTCCCGTCCCTCCGATCTGGTGGGAGTACGAACACGGCCCGGAAATCATGGAAATCGCGGACCCTACTCCAGAAGAAGAAGAGGCCTGGAGGCTGGCGCATATGCCGAAAGTTCCACAGCCTCCGGTCAAAGGTGTGCTCGGTGAAGGTGGTGAAGGAGAAGAAGAAGAAGAACTCTAGTGTCTTATTTCTTGTTTGTTTTTGTTTTTCTTCCAATTTTCAAATGCAATTTTTAATTTCCACGAACAATTTGATCTACAACATATGTGCTTTCGAAAAAACGAAAGTTTTTAAATAGTGTTGACATACCTTCGCTTCGTAGTTCTACATTATTTGAACGTTCGAAAAGTTTTTTTTATTTATTCAAGTTGCGCCCGGTCTTTCTTTCTGAGGAGAATAACTATCTGAGGATGAAAGAATAAAAGACGCGAACAGGTTTGACAGACTGACACATACTGACTTTTCAGGCAAGTTTAAACAAATACGATATTTCTTTTAAATACATATATTTATTGCAAAAGTTTATTTTATTTCACTCTTTGATATATGAAAAAATATAAATGCGTTCATGCCCACTGAGAATAGAATCCTAGACGCGTCTGACAGACCAGAACAGCAAGAAGAAGCAGACCAAAATAATCGAAAACGACAATGCTAGAAGAATATAATAAGTACTATAGTTTATCATCTCTACAAAACTCTTAATATTATTATACCCATTATATTCGTCTAGCTGGGTCGTTTTTGGTCGTCTTCGACCATTCTGGTCCGCTTAAGCTCGCTAGTTTTGTCAGTAACAATTCGTCAAGTGCAAGACCAAAACAGCGATGAGAGGCAGGACAAAATCATAGGAAACAACCAAGGTAAAACAATATAGTAGGTATAATATAACGTTTACAATTATGACAAATCTGTAGTTCAATAATTTGAAAACCGATCCGTGCTGATTTTGGTCTGTCAGGGAAATTTTGGCTTGGACTTGAGAAAAGACGAAAATTGGAAATGATTAATTTATCAGATTTCTTCGTGAGGATGATGACCCTCTAGCTTTGTCGTTTCCATTTTGGTCTGTCAGAATCGTTTTGGTATCGAGGATAGACCAAAATCATTGGAAATTATCAAGCAGCTGTTGAGAGATTTCTTCCTGAGGTCAAAGGGACGATAAATCTGTAGCTTGGACGTGTCCAATTATTTCGACAGAAGATAGTTGTTGATTTAGACCAGTCAGTTAAGTTTTAGCCAGGAGTACAGACAGAAATGATCGGAATTGACCAATTAACAGTGATAAAATTTCTTCTTGAGGTCTGGGGAGTCATTGTGCAAGAGGCTCTGTGGTAACCTCTTCTACCCATATAAATCTCAAAAATCTTCATAGAAAGGACAAACTGATCAGTAATAATCAGCTTCGGTTGTGAAATACCGTCTTGAGGTCTGTGGGGTGACGAACCTGAAGATTTGTCGTTTGCAATTATTTCGGCAGCTTGTTGAGCTAGGTTAGTCAGACAGGTTTTGACCTAGAACGCTAAAGGATAAACCAAAATATGAGAAATGACCGAGCTGCTGGTATGAGATTTCTTCTGGAAGTATGCGGGGTGATGAACTTGTAGTTTGGTCATTTTCAATCTATTTGAAATTCGATCCTTGCTGATTTTGATATGTCAGATACATTTTGATCTGGTGAATACAACCGATTGGAAATGAGAAAGCTGCGTTAGTGAGATCTCTTCCTGGGGTATGCATGGTATGAACATGTAGTTTGGTCGTTTTCAATCAATTTGAAATTCGATCCTTGCTGATTTTTGCCAGTCAGACCGGTTTTGGCCTGGAGGATAGACCAACATGATCGGAAATGACTAAGCAACAGTTATGAGATTTCATCTTGAGATCTGTGAAATGAGGAATATCTAGCGTGGTGCGAGAGGCTCTGTGGTAATCTCTTCTACCCATATACCTCTCCAAAAATGTCGTTTTGATAGTCATATCAAAACGATCAGTTATGAGACACCCTCTTGAGGTCTGCGGGGTGATGAGCCTCAAGATTGTTCGATTTCAATTATTTCGACAATATTCGTGCAAGGTCTTTATGCAACCTCTTCTACCCCATCCATCTATAAAATACAAACAACAAAATAATCATGACCAGTTGCTATTGTGATATGCCTTCCCGAGGTCTGGGGGTGATGATCCTTCCAATAAACAGAATAGACGTAGCTAGAAGAATATGTTAGGTATAATATGAGGTTTTCAGCGATGACAGACCAGTAGTTTTGTCATCTCCGACATCTTGGTACGCCTAATCTCGCTAGTTTTGCCCACTGATATTTGGCATATTCAAGACCAAAACTGCGTGGGCAGACCAAATCGGAATAGACCAACCTAGAACATAATACGTGTTTAAGACTTTTTTGCCTTAATTAGGTGTTATGTTAATCTGCTACTCTTCTTCCAGCCTCCATGGATCAACAGGTCTTCTAGCATTCTATGACGCACCACCTATTGATTTAACCTATTCAAGGTTTGTAAATTTGCGTATTAAAATTTTGCCGGCGATTCTGACTATTACAATACATTCCAAATAAGAAAGACTGATTTGGCAAGGCAGTGTTCCTACAGCATTGACACAATGATTTCATCCCTAACTTGAAAAGCAGCTGTTTTGTACTGAATAAAGAAAGTTATTTTTATATTACGTTCTGTCTATAAATTTGCGTTTCGTAAAACTATCCATTGAGCAAATGAAAGCCTTGTCTCTTAAAACTTAATGGCTGTCAGGAAGATGAACTACAGCATAAATCAGCTTGTCTCAGGTGACAGAATTTATGCATTCATTAAACCTCAGTATTTTCTCGTAAAAGTAAATTATTTTCTCTTCTACTCCTCTTACAACGCAGAAGATAAAAAGGACTGATATGCCTTTTTTTCTCTCCTCGGGAAGAAACCCGACGGTAGAAGTCCATTTTCCGATAAGTGAAACATCCCGTGAGTGGTTTAGTCGATGATCCATCATGAACGTCCCTCGCCCCTGCTATTATGACAGCCCTCCCCAACATATTGATTTGTTTGTTGTTTTTCCTCCCTCTTCTCTCGCCCTCTTCCGAAGTTCCAAGGGCTTGTCTTCGTTACGAGGGAAAGCCCTCGAATCGCACTTAAAGGTCTCCCCAAATTGGTGTCAAGAAGATTTATACTCTCCTCGTAATGACGGCTAGGGGACATAGCAGGTCTCATTCATGGAACCCTACGCCCTGAGAAAATACGGGCTGGAGAAAAATCGTTGAAATTTGATCCGAGGGATTTCCGCCGGGTTGGAAATACAGAAAATGAAGCAGCCCAAAAGCTACAGCAACTAACAAAATGATGTGTATATCATTTTTGTAGAAATTTCGATATTTTGATTAGAAGACTTCGACACACTTTTTTTCTTTTTCTTCTGGGATCCACCACAACCATCTTTCAAGCCCAATTTCTAGCCATAGAAACAACACGTCTCAAGGATGCAACTATAATGATATTAACAGATAGTAGGCAGGAAGCTCTTAAGATTCTTCAAGCCTACAAGAACAACTCACCTATATTTTTTTTTTTTAATTTATGATGGAGTAAGCACATCAATTCAATAGTTGAATACCCACAAACTATAAATAAATCCAGCCTTACGCGTCCATGGATGTGAAGAGTGATCTGGTGTCATGGTTTCCGCTGTTGTGGGTTTTTTTATAAATGTCTACTTCAATAGATTAACTATTATAGACTATTTTATTTCTAGAAAATTTAAACAACCATTTTTTACTTATTTCCAATGTGAGTTTTATGTTAGGATGTAAAGAAGCAAATAATTGAAGAAATTTTCTTAAGTCTTAGGGTGTCTAACCATATTTCAACTATTGAACTCTATTAAACTTGGAAGTGCCTAAATTTCCTAAAAAACTATCCATAAATAGTTTAACACTGTGGGTTCCAGGTCATGGTATATATGGCACACACCCTAGCTAAAACTGGATCCTTTGAAAAAATACATAAGCCTGAAGCACTTTTGAGGCGTAAACAAGAACCACATTAAAGAACTGGACACCCAGACGCTTATTTTTGGGCCTGGCGGGAAGGTTGCTCAATGTACCCCACATAATTAAAGGGTGTCATCCCTTGACTCCTTATAAAGAGCAAGTAGGAATGTCACCCGATATAAGAATTACGCTCGAGTACAGCAGCAAATCTGTGGGTCCCGTATTTCAATTCTGGAGTAAACTGGGATTTTTTTTTTTATTGCATGTATTGCTATTGTTTTAGAGACAGATGTTTTAACTGTTTTATTACATTGTATTTATATGTGTGAATGTGTATGTAGTACAAGAGTGTCAAGGGCAGAATATATTCAAGTACCTTCAATTAGTCTGTAATATAGTTAGTTGTGTGATAAAGGTCATGGAGGAATATCTAGTACTCAATCATCCTAGTTGAGTGAAAGGTATGTAAATAAGAGGGATTGAGTGTGTTCAGGTTAAAACTGAAAGCATTGGGGGCTGAAATGACCTTGTCGACAACCCCTTGAGCCTAACTTCGACGGTGATTCAGATAAGACCAAGGTGATCCTGGGCCACTAAAAGTGGTCAATTCTTGTGGCAAGCCTCAGTTTTACAAGTTTGTAGTTATAGTATTTATAGTTATAGTTAGGTATAGTATGTTATAGTTATATACTAGTTATAGTTAGTTGTAGTTGGTTTGAACCTATATAAATAAAAAAGAAAGAACTGAAATCTTTCGTTGCAAGAGAACACAATAAATACTGGGAAGGGCAGGCATGAGTTACAATATAAAGTAAAGCCAGAAGGCTGCAATGTTTGGGGGTACATAACCCCCCTTCTTAGTCATTCTAATCATTACCATCCCACCAATAATTAGTTCCCTCTTGAGCACTGCAGCTGAGCTGTACAGCTTACAGTACTTATCCCTGGCTCCATATTTTGGGGGAGGGCTCGGAACACAAATGTGAACTTGAGCCCCCGTTGTACCGGTCCATCGAAGAAACTCATTTTTGAAGGGGGTTGGGACCAAATTGAGGGTCACTGATTTCCGATCCCGCCCCTTCCATTGATGAGTGCCATGTCAATTTCTTTCAATTGCAGCCACCGGTCCCCTAGCGACATAAAATGTCCAGAGGCGACAGTGGGGATCAAACCCACGACCGCGGGATCTACTACCCGAGAGTCTGACGCCTTAACCACTTGGTTACCGCAGCCCCCCACCAATAATTAGTGGGTGTCTAGTCAATAAAATACCACTTGAGGTATTTCATCATACCTCAAGGGTGAACACATTTTATGCCAATTACTTTCATCAGTCCATCAATGCAAATATTTTTTTTTAATCATAAAGATCCTTTTCTTTAATTTTAGACCAGACTTTAATAACAACCACATGCTGGGCTATTGTTCTTGCCAGGCAATGGCTGCAAGTTCAGGGGACAAAGTTTGATGCTTGTTTTAACCCTTGCTTGAGGCTTTTTTATGACCTGCCTTTTTGCAGTCTTTTTACCCTAGTCTTCATCGCCGTCTGAGTCGGAACCCTTCTTCTTACAGCCTTTCAGTTTTCCACATTTGGCTTTCTTCTTGGGCAAGTACTCTTCATCACTCTAATTATCCTACATGGGCATTATTGCTCTCATCACTACATAGATTTTTCTTAGAGCTACAAGATGGTGTACTTGTAATTACACACGTTATAATTTTGATTTTGGTATTTTAAAGCACACGAACAGAGATATTAAAACTCATTCTGATAATAAAACCAGCAAGGATAGTTAGGCCAGGATGATTAGAGACATCCAAGCAACAATATTAATAAATAACATAATACACTATGTTGGAATGATAATAAAATTTGGACTTAGTTTTTCATGAAATCTCATATTATTCAAATATAAGTAATATACAGGGTGAATTGCTACTCGTGCTACAAACTTCTCCAGTAGATTCTTCACCCTAAAATGAACAAAAAAGTTCATATTGTCCATGGTCCGATTCTCAACCATTTCAGAGTAATTTCGCTTTTTATCGATTTTGAAAGATATCACGTCCTGGCGTCGGAAAATCGTGATATCTTTTAATCTAAACATTTCTCTTAAAATCTATAAGCACCGTTGAAATCCCCGTTAATTTTTAGAGAGAATCAAAATCATAATTCCATTGAAATTTTTTAATTTAATTTAATGCCCATTTAGTATGTAATGCTTAAGAAGTTTACAAACAGCTAGAAGGTCAAGGAAGAAAGACCCAAACGTTTTGCCACCTTCATCTTCTTATTGAAAAATTAACGGGGATTTCAACGGTGCTTATAGATTTTAAGAGAAATGTTTAGATTAAAAGATATCACGATTTTCCGACGCCAGGACGTGATATCTTTCAAAATCGATAAAAAGCGAAATTACTCTGAAATGGTTGAGAATCGGACCATGGTCAATATGAACTTTTTTGTTCATTTTAGGGTCAAGAATCTACTGGTGAAGTTTGTAGCACGAGTAGCAAGTCACTCTCAAACATTAGCAATCCTTGAACCACCATTTTTTCTCTTTTTGTCATCAACATCTTGGTCTCACAACCACTAAATAAGAAAATGACGAGTGCGTTGGAAGCGTTATTAAATCAGGTAGTTTTCCTCAAATTTGCTGCCTTCTGAGACTAAAATTAGAAACTCTGGATTACTTTATACACTTTCCGATTTACACAATTTTCCACTCTTTTTGTAGTTCTGGCTGAAATAAAACACAAAAAATTAGCCCAAACATTTTGCCACCGTCATCTTCTTATTGAAAAATTAACGGGAATTTCAACGGTGCTATTAGATTTTCAGAGAAATGTTTAGATTAAAAGATATCACGATTTTCCGACGCCAGGACGTGATATCTTTCAAAATCGATAAAAAGCGAAATTACTCTGAAATGGTTGAGAATCGGACCATGGACAATATGAACTTTTTTGTTCATTTTAGGGTGAAGAATCTACTGGAGAAGTTTGTAGCACGAGTAGCAATTCACCCTGTATAAAAAAATAGTATTTGTAATAAGTAATTAATTGGAATTTTATAATAAAGTTGTTTTCAATCATTTTGGTCTGTTTTGGTCTGTCAAATCACGTCTGAACCATTCAAGGTGGCGAGAAGCCAAAATGCGATGAACAGACCAAAACAATAAAGATAAGCAGACCAAAATGAAACGAAAACTTCCAAACTACAGCTTTCAATATCACTGATCTATCTTTGTTTTGTTCATTTTTTAACCAAAAAAACAATAAACATTACACCCACACACTGAAAAAAAATCTTTTCATGTTTACAATTTAAATAAATGACTTTCCTAGGAGAACTTTTTTAAAGTACAGAACTTCAGTAAAATTGTTTGATGAATGGACAATGAGTTGATGAGTAGCATCAGCTGAATGTTAGTAATGTTACTTTTTTTTAATTAACACTTGTAAAAAAGTATAAAATGAAATTCAGCAGTAATATTACTTACAAAGGGAGAGAATAAATAATTTGAAAACTATATATAAATTTATTTCCTTGATTTATTTTTACTTTTCAAATGTCCTTTTTTCCTTTTTTTACACTTCGCCTTGATTTTCATAGTCTCCTTTTTTTGTCTCATCGATTTTTTCTTTTGTTTCAATTGCTCGATTCTATTTTTCCTCTGAAATACTTTACTATTTATGGTGCTTTGTTTCATTGCCCTCTGTATATCTTTTTTAGTCTTTATTTCCATCCCTGGCACACCTTCTTCTTCTTCTCCTTTTGATTCTGGATCTTCTTTTTCAATCTTCACCATCTCACTTCCCTGAAAACAACAACAAATGATGAAAAACAGCCTCCACGACGATTTATTTTTAAATTTTAATTAATTATTCTTTTTATCTAAGATCTTGTTTGAGATGAAAAAGTTAGTGTCATGGGCGGGATTCGAACTCCCTATCTTCAGCTCAATACACAGTTGTTCTAACCACTTGAGCAATTGTGACTTCGATACACACAGACACCAACTCCTCATTTCAACAACCAAAAACCATCTTTCGAATTTTCCCTCTTTTTGCCATATTTTCCAATATCTTGTAAACAGGATTTGATTCTCGGCACCTTATGAAATCACCACAGGGAGCTGTTAGCAAAGTAGGTAATAATAATAAAAGTCTTTATTGGAAGAGAAAAACACAAATTCCTTATTATAGCATAATTTGACTGACACTCATGGCCCTTAGACCATCGGAGGAGTTGTCGCTTGTATTAAAACTAATAGAAGACAGTAAAAGTAAATCTATATTATAATTATGTACAAATATATATGTAAAATGGGTGATTTATGTAAATACTCTTTAGGACACACAAGAATTATGATTTAGTCTGAATTAAAAATTTTTACAAGTAAGAGGATTCACATAAATAATTTCATCTTCCAAGCCGCTATACAATATTTCCCTAAAGAGTCAATATTATTTTCATTCAAATAGGCACAAAATTCTTGAAACGTTAATACAACACTATTAAAATATAATAAATGATATATGTCCTCATCCACTTCGCTATTACATAGCGTACAAATTTTTAAACTATCATCAAGCAAGAAAGTACTTCTGTAATTATATTAATCCACATAGGTTTAGTAGTCACAAATGACCGTACTAATTATTTTAATTAATTATACTTTTAATCTAAGGTTTTGATTGAGATGAAAAAGTTTTAATTAATTAAAAATAATTAATAGAGTCAATTATGACTACTAAACATATATGGATATCATTTTCAAATGATTAACGTTATACTGAATTCTACACAGACATTCCAACATCATTCAGCAGTCATCCACAATATGTGCTCTATGGGGCATTATCCTTCATTATTCTGCATAACAAGAATCTCTCACTGATGTAGAGGGCAAACAGCACTACATTTTCTTCGATTACGCCTTGTAAGTACCTCTGTGAGTTAGAGATCTTTCTTGCACAACCAATTCGGTCCAAGGAAATGGGGGCGAACCTTTCTCCTGAACGTCTCCATACAAAATTATGCTTATCTGAAGATTTGATGTCAACTTTTACCTCATATGTAAAGAGAAATTATCCCAATTTTCCAATGTCCCATTCACATATTTAAGCCTGGTCATTTTCTGAGCTGTGTTAAGCAGAGGTCCACGAACCGGGTGCCAGGCACTGAGGTTATTTTCATTGAGGAGGAAATCAAAACATTTTGGACTTGTCTTATCAGATTTCTTATCTCATTTCTCATAATGCTGCGGTTTCGTAGCCTGATGACTGAATATATCATCACTCTCGTCTGTAGACCTAAGTCGATTCTGTCCTGGGTTTCCAATGTGAAGCCTTGTTTCTCCACGAGCCGAAGAACCTCTGCTATTGAAGTGATTTGCAGTCTCCTGGCGACTTCGCACTGCTGCATCCTTTCTCTAATAATATTATAACCCTAACACTGTCATATGCCTAACTGGCCAATGAAAACTGTTTAAGAATAAAAATAATATGAAATCTATGAAGGAAAAATACTGAAAGCGATCTTTAGGCATAGCAGAATGGAAGGGCGAAATGCTACTTTCTGTGTAAATTGGATTAATCAGTACAAAACTGAACACAGGAAGTAAACAAAGCATTATTCATGTTTATTTTGACTATGATAGCTCCTAATTACCTGCATTTAATCTACAAAAAAAATGGATTTAATTTTAAACTAAATAAATCGAGTGGTGCGTTAAATTTGTCCATAAGTGCATTTAGATAGTTATTAAGATAAAGACCTTGTTATTACAATACAACTTTCTGTTCGGGAACCCATATGTTTCAGTTTGATTTCGAAGTCGATTCACAACAGTTTAACAATTTTTTAACCATCAACAAGTGAAGAAAATACTTCTTTATTACATTATTACATTAATGCATATCTGTTTAGTAGCCACAAATGACCATATTAAGTATTTTGATTAATTACACTTTTTATCTAAGGTCTGATTGAGATGGAAAAGTGTTAATTAAAATGATTAATACTGTCAATTATGACTACTAAACATATACGGATTAATATCATTTTCAAATGTTTAACATTTTACTGAATTCTACATAGACATTAAATGAACATAAATTGTTCAAGTTATTGTTTGAGTACAGATAACTGAAGGCAATAAATCAAACAAAGACAAGAGGTTTAAACGAAATTTTTTAACAATACAATGCTGTGAAACTATCACCAGGCTATTTTGCATGTAGTTCACCAGCTTCAGGAATTATTAATTTAAATATAATAAATAAATAGAGAATTTATCTATTTATTTCCCTTTTATTATATTCTCTTGCAGTGGACGAGAATTAACCATGAAGTACTGAGTTTTATTTTTTCATTTTCCTACTTTGGAGCAGTGGTCAATATTACGGTTTACCAATGTGTCCCTATTCACTCTAAAAACACCAAGTTGCTGTGGAATGGTATTAGTGTGAAAACAAGTATACTTAGTCCTATAAGTACCCAGAGCCACTTTTTCCACGGTAATGCGATCATTATCGATCATCACTGCCCCTAACCATCCCTAACTATCCTAGCTGGATTAGTCTGTGAGACATATAATTCACCATGTACAGTGTGTAAATGCCAAAACACAGCTAAAAAACAAACCTAGGGAAGATAGGCAGACCAGATGATCAATAACAATCAAATTACGATGGGAAAAAATCAGTAATGATCAAATTACAGACTAATGGCCTCGCAGACAACAAGTCCAAATCCCACAATTTTCCCATGGACTTTAATGTTTAAGTACGATTGCAAGGATATTTTGGCAAAATACCTGGAACAATATGTACTCCCAATATCATCTTTTTCAAACCATAATAAATTACATCAAACTTTGGTTCACAAAACATGAACATTTTTACATGAATTAATATGAAAGGCAGGCATGAGTTACAATGCAAAATACAGTAAGCCTTATAAAAAAACTTCTTCGTCTCCTCTAATCATCATCACCATCCCACCAATAATTAGTATCTAGTCAAAAAAATATCACTTGTATTTCATCATTCCGAAAGAGTGGATGTATTTTGTGCCAATGATTTTTTTATAATAGACCAGACTTTAATAATGACCTCATGCTGGGCTATTTGCTTTTGCCAGGCAGCGACTGCATTTTCAGGGGCTTCTTTTATCCCTTGTTTCAGGCATTTTTGCCGTCTTTTTACCCTAGTCTTCATCGCAGTCTGAGTCAGAACCCTTCTTCTTAGGGTCCATTTACACGCTCATGCAATTTGCGCCAATTGACTTGTGCAAGCACGTTTGCACAAGTAAACCATTGTGTAAATAGAAGCATGACGTTTGCACAAGCCAAAAAGTTTGGCTTGAATAAAATCTGTCCTACTAGGAAAATTGCATGATGCTGTTGCATGAGCGTGTGAACAGGATTGCGCCAACCTTCCAGTCAAGCACCTACCCATTGATGACAGTAATAATCATTCAAGGGACAGCAGACATTTGTTAACAGCTGTTTGTCTGAATAATTAGTTTGTGGTTGTTATTGGTTATTTCTGATGCCCTGCTTTGTTTTTTGTAGAAATGGCGAAAAAAGAGAATGAGTTTCTCCCAGAATTTTTAGAGTTATATAAATTGTTTCTGTGTTTGTAGAAAATCGGGAATATACTGATTGGAAAATGAAATCTCAAACCTACGATATTTTAGTTGAAAAATCCTGACTCTTGACCCTGAAGCTACTAGAGACACAGTTGTAAAAAAAAAATTAATTCGCTCCACACCACGTACAAAAAAGAATATAAAAATGTGTTGAGTCTTAGCACTAAACATTATAGCATTAAGAGCTAGTTTGGAAATAAATGTGGAAATTTCATATCCATACTTCTCCCTATTACCAAAAATTTCAATGTAGCTGAGAGTCGTTCATGAGGGGGTATTGCACGTCTCATAACCGTGTCTCCTCGTGATATTAATGTTGAAACTAAATTGAGAATTGTTAGTAACTTGTTTCATCGATGAGTAGATAATTAAGAAAATCATCAGGTTCACTGCATAGTTCGTTAATTAAATTCGTATGTGAAAACAAATTTATTTTTAATAACCAGGGATTAGACCATCTTCTCTTTTCCTTCTTCAATTTTTGTTTTTTCTTGATAACGCATATCGCAACCGTCGCAAGAATTAATTCGTCAACATTTTCCATTTTTGTAAATTAATAAATAAGTCAATCAATATAAATGCAATATTAAATAAGTAAATCATATTTATACTATAAATTTAGACATTTGATGAGTTAACACTTCTGATGCCGATGAAGAACTGCACAAACTAGTTTAACGGCCTGTTTAGTTCAGTTCATTTGTGCAAGTTTGCTTACACAAATCAACTTGTGCAAATTGCATGAGCGTGTAAACGGACCCTTACAGTCTTTCAGTTTTCCACATTTTGCTTTCTTCTTGGGCAAGAACTCTTCATCACTCTAATTATCCTACGTCGCATTATTGCTCACATCACTAAATAGATTTTTTAAAGCTAAGGTGGTGTACTTGTAGTTTGATCATCTTCCTGGTTGGTCTGTTATACACATTCTGGTATTTCAAAGCAGACAGATTATGAAATTTCAAAACTCATTCTGATAATAAAACCAGCAAAGATAGATAGACCAGGATGATTGGAGATATCCAAGCAACAATATCACTAATTAACATAATCCAGTATTTGGTCATTACCGATAATTTTGGACAGTCTATCCTCTCTGGTCTATATTGAAAGATGATAAAAGGAGCGTAGGTGGCCACAACAGTTTAGGCGCTGACACAGTGCTCAACACTGTTAGGTAAAGGTCCTTCTTCTAGCGGTTCTACTTTCAAACCCAACACTTACAAATGGGCTTTTTTTCTAAAAAGGCACCCTCAGGTTAATATAACCTCATAGTTGAAATACCCTCATAAAAAAAGTTGTTTCACATCAAAAAGCAGTAATTCCTGGCATTAAACAAAATCAATATTACACAATTAAAAAATATGGTTACTTACTCGGTTTCTCCCGATAAGAAAGTTCGTCTTGGCTAAAAGATCAGTGTCCAGTTCGAGAACACTGACTTTCGCATCGTCGACATCAAACTCTTGGGCGAACTGTTCTTCCAATTCTGGTATCGGTTTGTAGGAGTGGACCAGCTTTTTATACTGTTCTTTAGCCTGGAAGAAATAAATTTAATTAAAAAAAAGTTTTAAAGAGGAATTTCATTCATCTTACCTCTGATTTTATCCGTTTTTTCTCAGCTTTCAATTGGTTTTTCAGTTCCTCTTGAGCTGCCATGCGCCTATGCTGCTTGCGTTTGCGAAACCCTGTTAGGAATTCTCTGAAACGAATAAATTTTAATTATTAAAATTGTTTTATTTTCAGCATTTGAACTTATTGTCAAATACAAGTACCACATCCAACGATATTGGCCCAAACTCTACCTCCTGGCTTCCTCGTCGAAAACAATGTGCAATTTTGTCTTTCTGTTGATCCTTTTTTTCCTCCGACGTGCTGTCACTATTGAGTTTTCTTCATCGTCCTCTCCAAAATCCATGACGAAGAAAAAAAAATTTGTTTTTTCAAAAAACTTAAAATATACAATCAACACGTACCAAGCGTTGTATAGAGTATACACATGCAGCAACCTTCCACTTTGTTACACTAAAACAATGCCAAATACATTGCATATAGTGAAAGTGTTCATTTTATTTTTATTAAATCTACTCGAACCAATATTTTTATTATACATTATTTTTATATACAAACACTTTAATAGAAATTCATTACCTTATAATAAAAATAACAATTATCAAGAGATAATGAAAGTGCGTTTTTTTTTCAAAACTTAGTTCACCCTTATCTTAGCAATCCTTAAACAATAATTTTATTTATTATTTATTTATTTTAAAGGTACAAATAGCTTTAAGCCCTCTTAAATGTACATAGTTTAGAAATAAATGTAGTTTTATAATCATAGTCTTATTAATGACAATAAAACATAATAAAATCTAAGTTTTTAGTTGGTCCTAATTAACCAATTAAGTGATTGTAATTGTTTATAATTTTTATGTAGTGTTGTTGAGATGAAGTTTGAATATTTGCCAAAAAGTGAGAAATTTTAAAAACTTGTTGAGATGAAGGGTTGGTGTCTCGGGGGATTGAAGTCACGATAGATCAAGTGGTATGAGCACCGTATCTGGTTGAAGTCCAGCTCCATCCAGATATAACGATGGTTATTTTATTTTCTTTACATACAATTATACAAAATCAAAGAAGAAAAATAGGCTTTGGAATAACTTTCAAAAGAAAATAAAAATAGAATCTTCTACTCAATTGTAGCAGGTATCATCACTTGTACGGCAGAAATTTGGGACGTGGGTATAGTTCCTTGAATAATAAGGAAAATAAGCGGACCAGCGCTTTTCTTTAGCCAAGAAATGGCAGTGAAAGAACTCAAGACTGACAATTGGAAAGACCTCAAAATATGGTGTGAATTGACACGGTCAACTCTACAAAGAAAAAACCTGATAAGTAGGTAAGTAAGAAAGAAAACTAAATTATTGAAAGAACATAAATTGAACATTGTTAACAAGTTTATTTTTTACTTTATGTACATATGTGGCGAACTGATCCATGCCTTCCTTCTTAACGTCAAGTTTCTTGGTAGCGATGAGCGACCCTTCGGACAATTGTTCTGCGACAGTTCTTCCTGGCCACATTCGCCTGACTTCTTCCATCTTCCAACAATGCTACAATTCTACGCAAAAGTGAATCACTTAAAATCACCTCTCCAACAAATTTGAAACTTAAAAATGGTACAACTTAAAAAAAACCTCAAACCACCAGAATGTTAGAAAGAAGCTTTACCAAAAAAAAAGAGATTGACTATTTAAAGATTTTTTTACAAAATCCAATTGTAAACACAAGTGAGAGATTATATGTGTGGCTTATTTACCTTTAATCCTTTAAAACGGGCCAAATATTATTGTAAGGTAATCAATGGAAGATTATCTAAGAGTTAATTGAAAATATTAAGGGTGGCCACTTTTTGCCTCTCAGGACTGCTCACCTGGTTTTAATAATATTTTATGGAATTATCCAATTTACAAAAAAGATTTAAATATAGAAATGTACAATATAAAAAATAACATTATAAAAGCAAAACAAAGGAAAAATTACTTACTAATTAAAATTACTTAAATTTTTAGTATTAAACAATACATAAAGTAACAAAATAGCTTGAAAGAATGTTTCGTTTAAATATACCTAAAAAAAAGATCACATTTATCATTGTAATTATTTTCAATTACGATTCCTCGCCTAGAGCTTGACAAGAGTATGAGAGTACAAAAGTAAACTTGTGCAGTTGAAGTTATTTAAATTACATACATGTATAGAGGTGGAAGTTTAATATTTTCTATGAAAAATATTTTATTGTTATCAAAATAATGAAAGGAAATTTAACTTAAAATATACAAAATAAGTCAAAATTTAACATCTGCACACTTGATTGTAGAATAAAAAAGAAGAATTTTTTGAAGATTGTGAGAAGTGGTCTGGTGTGATGTAGGTTAGAAAAACGTTTTCTTTGGATTGGATTGGAAAGGATTGGAGATCCCACACCTTGGAAGGTTTAGTAGTTTCCCACAATTGTAATGTTTATAAAACTAAATTTATTTCTAAAATATGAACATGTAAGGGAGCTCAAAGTCCTATTTGTACTTTTAAAATAAATAAATAAAATTCATAAGCGATCTGCTTGCTTTAGATAGAAAGGATTGGAGGCGTTGGATATTGGAAGGTTTGGCGGTTCCCCACAACTTTAATGTTTATAAAACTGAATTTATTTCTAAAATACGTACATGTAAGGGAGTTTAAAACTCTATTTGTACATTTAAAATAAATTAAAGAAAAAAATTAATAAGGGTTCTGGAGAAGTTAAATTAAAAGGATTGGAGGCCTTGGATATTGGAAGGTTTGGCGGTTCCCCACAACTCTAATGTTTATAAAACTCAATTTATTTCTAAAAGATGTACATTTAAGGGGGCTTAAAGCTCTATTTGTACATTTAAAATAAATAAAATTTATAAGAGATCTGAGGACTTTAAATTGAAAAGATTGGAGGCGTTGAATATTGGAAGATTTGGCTGTTCCTCACAATTCTAATGTTTTTAAAGCTAAATTTATTTTACAAATATGTACTCGTAAGGGAGCTTAAACTTTAAAGCTCTTTTGTCTCTTTAAATTTAATAAATTAAATAAACAAATAAAATTTATAAAGGATCTGCGGACTTTAGATTGAAAGGATTGGAGGCGTTGAATATTGGAAGGTTTAGTGGTCACCACAATTCTAATATGTATAAAACTCAATTTATTTCTAAAAAATGAACATGTAAGGGGCTTACAACTCTTTTTATATCTTTAAAATAAATAAAATTTATGAGATCTGAGGACTTTAGATTGAAAGGTCTGGAGGCGTTGAATATTGGAAGGTTTAGCAGTTTCCCACAACTCTAAATTTTATAAAACTCAATTTATTTCTAAAATATGTACATGTAAGGGAGCTTAAAGCTTTATTTGTACCTTTAAAATAATTAAATAAATAAATACATTTTATAAGGGTTCTGAGGACTTTAGATTGAAAGGATTGAAGGCATTGGATATTGGAAGGTTTGGCGGTTCCCCACAACTTTTTTTTTTTTTTTTTTGCCTTATGATCTTGCATATTAGCCACGGTACGAATTTTTGTGTTTCAAATTGGGGGTTATCGGGAAAAAAGGGCCAGAGGCGACGGTGGGAATCGAACCCACGACCGCGGCGTGAGAGTTTCTCATGCTAACCACTCGGCTACCGCGGTCCCCCCCCCCACAACTTTAATGTTTATAAAACTGAATTTATTTCTAAAATACATACATGTAAGGGAGCTTAAAACTCTATTTGTACATTTAAAATAAATAAAATTTATATGAGATCTGAGGACTTTAGATTGAAAGACTTGGAGGCGTTGAATTTTGGAAGATTTGGCCGTTCCTCACAATTCTAATGTTTTTAAAACTAAATTTATTTTACGAAAGTATACTTGTAAGGGAGCTTAAACTTTAAAGCTCTTTTGTCCCTTTAAATTTAATAAATAAAATTTATAAAGGATCTGTGGATTTTAGATTGAAAGGATTGGAGGCCTTGGATGTTGGAAGGTTTAGCAGTTCCCCACAACTCTAATGTTTATAAAACGGAATTTATTTCTAAAATATGTACATGTAAGGGAGCTTAAATCTTTATTTGTGTCTTTAAAATAATTAAATAAATAAATACGTTTTATAAGGGTTCTGAGGAAGTTAATTGAAAGGATTGGAGGCATTGGATATTAGAAGGTTTAGCGATTCCTCACAATTACAATGTTTATAAAACTAAATTTATTTTTTAAATATGTGCATGTAAGGGAGCTTAAAACTCTGTTTGTATCTTTAAAAGATATAAAATTTATAAGAAATCTGGGGATTTTAAATTGAAAAGATTGGAGGCGTTGGATATTAGAAGGTTTAGCGGCTCCCCTCAATTCTAATGTGTATAAAACTAAATTTATTTTTAAAATATGTGTATGTAAAGGGGCTTAAAGCTCTATTTGTCCCTTTTAAATAAATAAACAAATTTTTACTCCAGGACAAATATTCAAACTGCTCGGTGAAATAAGAGGGAAAAAATGTCCGTCTCTTATTGATTTACAAGTGGCGTAGTGGGAGTGGGCCTCCGTCCAATCCTGTGGTTACTGCCGCTTAAATGCGGAGACATCACCAACATGGCTGTCAGTATAAATTTGGCACTGCAGAGATGGTTTTCTCCTGGGAACTCCGTCAAAGTTACGCGTTCGACCTCAAGTACGTGCCGCCGAAATGCCTCTCTCTCTGCCTAAAACGATGGCTCGTCCGACTGGGCAGCCTTAAGAAGTCCCAGGATGTCTAATTAGGTGATTTTTTTTTCAATCAATTTATTCATCCGCTTTCTATCTACGGTTTTATTAATTTTCTTCTTCCTCTACTAAGGTTGTTTTTTTTAAATAATAATTTCCTTTAACCTTCTTCCCGTTTGACACACATTTCTCCATTTTATCCGCCTGGACCCTTTCTTTTAATCTCTCACCTAACGGAAACAAATACGTGCTAATTAAAACAAATATATATTTTTTTAAAGGGGAAAAATCGGTTTTATCGATTGTTTTCTTTCTTTTTTCTTTACACGACTCCACCCCCATGATTTGTAATTATTAAATTAATTTTAATTGGTTACACGTTTACGTTACTCTTCTTTTTTTTTCCTTTCGCAGGCAAGACTTATTTTCTTACGCTTGGAACTCAAGAATAAATACTTCTAAGAATAAATGGCTTCAAGGTAAATATACATTTAATTATACAAATATTTGCCGATAATTTTTTTTTAATATTTAATTATTGAGCAATCCGATACTTTTACTCCTGCCGTCACGATCTAGGGCAATTTATTGTGTAAACGGCATGATCAGATAGGAATTATATTTTTTTCTTTAAAATACACAAACATTGGCCACTGTAGAAACATTCTTTTTAAAAAATATATATTTTAGAATGAAAATATATTTTACTGTTATCAAATGATAAATAGGTGCTTTATTATAAATGCTTCAGGGTCGTATTTGGCAGAAAAATGAGTTCTCGACCTCTAAAGTCCAGGGGAAACCCATTAATAACTTGTTTTGAATTTCATTTTGAAATCTTTTTTTTTTTTGTGTGTGTGTGACAAATATAAACCATTTCACCTTTTTTATGAAGAAAGTATTGTACACTCAAAGACAAACAACCAGACACTTGTATTTATTTTCCATAATAACAAGCTATAAAGATTACTAATTTGCTTAAGTTATTTCCTTTATTACTATCTGTACAAAATGTACATTGAGTGAGCGGTATAGTTATATACAAATCTGATAGGCTGTGAGGAGAGAAACCGACCAATGTTGAAACTCTCTCTTATTAAATAATAATAATAATAATAAAGGCACTTTTATAATAATATAGAATTAAATTACAGCTACTAAATAAGTACTATTAAAGCATGGAAAATTCCGTCTGCCGAAGGTGAATGAAAATATAAACAGGGTAACAAATGCGCGAATTAATACAAAATGTAAATTGAGAAAAAAAAGACTTCCAAAGATCTTAAATTAAATTAAAGAAAAAGAAAAAACAAACTAAAAACGTGAATAAATAAAATAAGAGCAATAATAAAGAAAACAAATTGAACTGACTGTAAATTATATTTTGGTCGACTGTCGCACTTTGCAACCCTTTAGGTAAAGGCTCAACCTGTCGAGTGATTTAAAGGAGTTGCTGGGTCCCCGGTGTTTGTTTCGAAGAGCGCTTTTCAGCTTTCTTAAATTTATTGGGATTTAGGCCTTCGCCCAAATTCTTATACATTTGAATGTTTGTCAAAAAAAAAAAACAATGTATATATATTTTTTTGTATTATAATGAAAATATATTTTACTGTTATCAAATGTTAAATAGGTGCTTTATTATAAATGCTTCAGGGTCGTATTTGGCAGAAAAATGAGTTCCCGACCTCTAAAGTCCAGATGAAACCCATTAATAACTTGATTTGAATTTCATGTTGAAAAAAAAAAAATTTTTTTTTGGGACAAATATAAACCATTTCACCTTTTTTATGAAGAAAGTATTTTGTACCCTCAAAGAAAAACAACCGGACACTTGTATTTATTTTCCATAATAACAAGCTAAATAGGATAAAGAAAAAGAAATTGTGTTTTTGTTTTATTATTATTGTTAAGTAGCATTAGGGCATTTATAGTATTTCAAAGGAAGAATAAAAGGATAATGATGAGCCTGTACTCATGCTGAAACTGTTGCTAGTCTTACTCAATTGTTATTATTATAATTGGCCAGACAAGCCTGTGTTTAAATTATAGAACAAAAATTCGAAATTCTAATTAAAGAACAGGAATAAATTAAAGCTTTGGATGGTAATAGGATAGATTAATTTTGGAGTGAATGTTTGGAGTTAGAGCACTCAGAAGGGATTTAGCTAACCTAATAGAAGGTTTAAATGTTAGGGCGTGAAATGACCTTAGCCGTTAAAACGCCCTTAAAAATTATTAGTAATAATAACAAATTGAAATTTAATTATACATACACAACGTATTCATTTCATTGACATAAAAATATCTTTATTGCCATGCATGTCTACAAAATCTTACAAGTGAAATTGGCTCATAGTTTAACTTGTTAATTAATTGATCTCGGGAACGGGAACTGTAGCCTAGATGCTGATTTCATTTAAGATTGTACATTGTGCAATGAAATTGAACACTGGGAGGTCCGAAGCTCGATTGTACAAGCGTGTGAAGAAAGAAAATAAAAACAAGCTATAATACAAAAACCCTCTTTTAATTGGGGTTAAGATAAGTCACAAGGCCATTGTCATTTTTTAAATGGCTTGGAGGATTGTAAAGGTTCCCTTGTTTGAAGATGTATGTACAGTTTGCCAGTCTATTTAGTTTCTCGTTTCTAATATTTGGAAAAGGTCTGTATAGGGAATCTTTATGGTTCTGGTGTTGCTACACTGTGTGGCATTTTTAGCCAGTGTATCAGCTTTGTCATTACCATATAGAACCATGTAATTTTAATCCACAGGAAGAAACCCCTTTTTTTAATAATAGATAAATTATAGATGATCTTTTTAATGCCAACTACGATATAATATTTGATAGTTGTGAATGTAATCAGCCAACTTACAGAGTGTTGAAATTCTTTTACACTCTTTAGATTGAAAATAAAGAAAATCAGTTCAATTTCATCCCTTCCAGAGCTAATTTATCAAGTGAGTTGGTTTTTAGACTCTTACTGCCCTACAGAATTTAACGACTAACTTCATAAGTAGTCAACCCCAAACCCATAATATAGAGGAAAGATGTAAAACAGTCATCAGAAGGTTTTAGGAAAATAGCCTAGTCTCTAAATGTCTCTCATCATGTTCTTTGTACTCTCAGTAGAAAGGCTGTTTGCAGCATTTCACTTGGACACTTGTACTACGTAGGGACTGTTCGCTTCACAGAAGAATGGCAGTTTGGTTCATGGCAATCAGATGACAGTCCGTGTGTCGGGAAAACTTGGAGGACGCTTTGCTTCATGTACCATGCGCCACAACCTTTTCAAAGACATTCGGTTATGGTATGGAATCAACATACATTGAGGAAGTTCTGGTGTGGATAAAGGATTAAGGTGTTAATGTGTGATAATGTTCGAACACATGTAGTTCGAGTTGTCACCTATTACATGGAGGAGGTAGGGATTACCACAATGAATTGGCCAAAGATGGGATTCTGTTGGACAAGACAAAATCTAATCGCTTATTTACTCAATGCCTAGGAGACATCAGGCCCTTGGCTTGACCAGATGAAGTAACGCATTATTAGGAGCAAAACTAGGTTAGTTAAACTAAATAGTTAACTTTTAATCCATTACCAAATGGTTTTCCGGTGTTTTAGTGTATTTTCTTTCAAACCATCATAATTAAATATTTTTTAATAAAAGTCATGAATTTCTGATTTCATTTAATTTGGTATTACATTAAAATAAGTATTTTATGTGTGGTGATTAGTGATCGTTAGTCGATAATTATTCAGAAATCGTGAGATGCGGTCTGGTGTGATGTAGGTTTCAGAAAAACATTTTCTTTATCGTGCCAACGTTTCGATCTTTATTGAGATCATCTTCAGGGCTCAAAGTGTTTGCCTTCTGTGTGTTTGTGCCATTCTTGCGCGTCGTGTTGAGAGTCAAACACAGACGATGATCTCAATAAAGATCGAAATGTTGGCACGATAAAGAAAATGTTTTTCTGAAACCTACCTCACACCAGACTGCATCTCACGATTTTTGAATAATAAGTATTTTAATTAATTTTTTTATTTTTTTTTATTTTTTTAAACAACAAAGTACTAGTGTCTGGTTTTTTTGTCTATGAATGTATTTCAACATTTAAATAAATCAAGAATTTGGTCATTTCCGATAACCTTGCTCTGTCTGTCCTCACTGTTTTTTTCCCATTAAACGTTGTTGAAATGTTTGATTTCTTTTATAGAAGAAATCTTGCAATGTAAATAAATATGGATCTCAAGGTGGAGAAACTTTATTAATATTACAACCTAGCTGTTAGCATAGCTAAAAATTAATCTTTTTCTAGTAACTATCATGTACATAATGAGTAAACAAAAATAATAATAAAAAATGGGGTCGGTCAGGTGAGGCAACTTAAGGCTGGGACATCCTAACTTCCAGGCTTAACCACTGCAATCTGGCTCTCTGTCACAAAAAAAAAAATACAATAAAAAACGTGATTAAAAGAAAGAGGCAGTGTCGCGATGGCCTGGATAGGCAGATAAGCTCTCACATATCAAGAGCACTGTTGATAAGTGGCCCTCGTTGGATCTGACTTTAGAAGAAAGGCCATCTTCACACAATTAAGAATAAGCCATGTGAGGTTGACATACACTTTTGGGCCAAAGCGTGTATATGTCCAGCATGTAGAGAAAGGTTGCTAGATGTGACCTACTTAGTTGAAGGGTGCAATTCCTTGGCTCCATATAGAGAGCGTGTAGGAATGTTGCTCAATATGGGAATTGCATCTGGGCTTCTTGTTATGATTCTTGGAGGAAACAGGGCTTTATTGTATATAGTAATGATAGTTTTGTGTCCCTAGTGGATGTATTTATTAGTGTGAATGTGTAGCCATGGGCCGATGGTGGAATATTTAGTTAGTACCTCATCGACCCTCAATTAGGTTATTTACAATAAGTATGAAAGGTGATGGAAAAATATCAAGTACTCCACCACCCTAACTTGAGTGAATGTAAATACATAAGAATATATTTAAGGGTGAGTGAAAGTGTGAATGGGTTTGATTTTTAGGAACTAATTTGCATTCTGTATGGTTGTGTTGTTTTTTATGCCACTAAATAGCAAACTACAAATAAATAATACAGGAGGCACCTTGAAAGAATTTATGGAAATGCTTGAGAGTATATTATTGACATTGTGAGATGATGGAACTTGATCTTCCTCAGTCGTCCTGGTCTTGAGTAGCTCATCTATGTGTTAATTTGGAAAATTGGCCTAACAGGATAATCGTAACACATCAAACAATGAATAAATAGGGATGGTTAGGGGGTGTTGGATCTGTTTTGGATGCTCAGGCAAAATTAATTGTTGATATATTTGGCGTTTACTCAGGGTAAAACGGTATTGGGATTATTCTTAGACCTAAGCGGTGCCTACGATAACGTCAGCATCCATATTTTAGGCCATAAATTAATAAAACTGGGCCTTCCAAACAAATTTGTT